TGCACCCCTGAGCCTGCTGACCCTTTTTTCCCGTGTGATGATCTCATGGACTCTTCGCTCCTCCGTATCGGCGTGTGGATAGTGTTCTTGCTTGCATTGCTTGGCAACGCCATAGTCATCTTTGTGATCATTACACGCAGCTCACGAATCGACGTGTCTAGATTTCTGATCTGTAATCTAGCTGTAGCAGATTTGTGCATGGGTGTGTATCTCGGGCTTTTAGCAGTCGTCGATGCGTCAACCCTCGGAAACTTTCGGAGCTATGGTGTCGAGTGGCAGTTGAGCCCAGGGTGTAGGACAGCGGGGTTTCTCGCTGTATTGTCAAGCGAAACATCAGTTTTCACGTTGACTGTAATCACTATTGAACGCTACATTGCTATCACGCATGCGTTGGACATCACTAAAAAGATGAGCTTAAAGAAAACGTACCTTGTGATGCTTGTTGGTTGGTGTTTTGCTCTCACAGTTGCAACGCTGCCGTTGTTCGGGGTCAGCGACTATACCAAATTCAGCGTTTGTCTGCCGTTTGAGACTGGGAACACGAAATCTTTGGTATACGTTACATCAGTGCTCATACTAAATGGGTCAGCGTTCATCGTCATATTAACTTGTTACTGTAGAATTTACAGCGCTATCCGTGGCTCAAACGCCTGGAACACAAATGACTCAAGAACTGCACTAAGAATGGCAATTCTCATATTTACAGACTTTTCGTGCTGGGCACCCATAACTGTGTTTTCTCTCACTGCAGCGTTTGGTGGAGAGTATGTGAGCCTTAAAGACGCAAAAATATTTACAGTTTTCGTGTTTCCTCTCAACAGTTGCGCTAACCCTTTCCTATACGCTATTTTTACTGCACAATTTAAGAGAGACTGTATTTCGCTGTGTCGTAGAGTAAAAAGTTCTCAGATTCCTAAAATAACAAGTTCGAGGCGAAAATACTCATACTCGAGTGGTGAAATGAGGCGGAATTCACAAGTGAGTTCATCGAACGGACTGGAAGGTATGATAGCAAAGCTGCGCCCGCGTGAGCAGCGGCGGAACTCCCTTCCACCATCCATGAGGCTGATGGTTAGCAGACCTGCAAATAGCAAGAGTTCGGAGACAGTGAGAAAAGAGGTCATTGTCGAAAAAGTAACGGTTCTCTAAATGCTTGACATAACGCACTCGATTAAATGATCCTCAGAACTGAATGGGTGCCATGACATGCAACTCTGGTGAAGGCGTGTTTCAAACGTAGTCTGTATTGTATCATGTCTCCTCCAATTGCATGCTGTGTAATCTATCAATACTGTACAAATTGTATCATACAATTATTTTATTAGGTCGTAGCTAGTATATCTATGAGAGGATGGTGGATCAATGAGATGAATTTCAACATATAATAGTTGTGTTCATTGACAACCTGTCTGGTTTGGGTTTTAGTAAGGGGCGGATATGTTAGTAAATTGTCTGTGTTTCAAACACGAGAGAGTTGCTTGAAAATTACCTTTTTCTGTGGGATAAGCTTGCTCGAGGCTCGCATAATTTTTACGTTTATAATTACATTGTATTACATTGTGATAAAATATATTAAGTTGACATTCAAGTCAACACAGTGCGAAACAATGTATAAAACTATGAAAGAAGTTGATGGCATATTTCAGTGGTCCGTCAAAACTCAGGCTAGAGTAAATAAAGCAGCTTCATAGTTATATTGAAGAATAATAGCGGCCTTTTAGGGCATGATACTGCGGGGAAAAAGTTGTGCGCTGGGTTAAGGTTGCAATTTGTTATGAGTTTGGAAAATAGCTGATGGAAAGAAGAAGTTGAAACTTTCGAAAATTCCTGAGAAAAATCCTCAGTTCTCATAAAATAGTAGAAATCTTGAAACTGAAAATAACTCAGTCGCTCGGGCAAATTTACGCGCAACTTTATCTCTTCGATCTTTTTTCTTAGGTTAAGGAAGGGATGGGGTCCGTTCGATCCTGCAATTTTGAAAAAAATGTTTAAAATCTGTGAATAAGCTTATCTCTGAAACACTTAGCATGTATTTATTGCCCAATTTATCGCAGTTAATCAAGGGATAATGTATTTGCTGTAATAAGCAACATTATTTACGATCTTTTAAATTTTACATTCCAGTCACGAAAAACAACCCATTAGGAGTTTGTTTCACAAGATTGTATTAAATTATATAATATTATGTTATTATTCAATGACAACAATAGATGGCTAGAATATGCAGAGATATTCAATGGAAAGATGTGGTCCTAAGCAAAGAATTCGGGCCACGTGAGGTAATCGGTTATAACAGTGAAAAACTGGGGATGGTTGTAATCTTAAATACAAGTATTTTACTTAGGAGATTTTTCCTTACCCTTATTTCGTCGACTTAATAACATTGCACAAGCTCTTAAATATGTAATTATATAACTTCTTACGTATTTTGTATAAGTGATTGTAAATAGATAAATAAAACATATTTATCTCGCTGAATGTTTTATTTTCAAGAGTTATATGACCACAAATAATTCTACCTGCTCCACCCGGGAAATGGTTACCAGCTTTATATTGAAGCCTGACAGCAAGAAGTTTTCATTATGATTCATCTGCGTCATTTCTTGTCGTTTCCAAGGAACGCTTAACCCTTTACAAAAATTTCAGCTCTCCAGTAAACAATTACAGGACAACCTTGAGCTTTTGCGGCTTTGTAAGGCCAACCCCATGAAATATTAAGAGCGATTTTCATTTGGTATCGAAAGTAATTCGAAATTGCATTGATTTTGCATGTGACTAGTCAAGAAAATTCGCGCCACTCTTTTCACCAATCAGCTGCAAAACTAAATCAATCGCGACTTAGTCACCTTCGTTTTCCCGCGCTTTAGGCAGTTTGTTGTCGTTGTTTTCACTCTGAGTTCTGATTTGCCATCGTAACTATTTTGGTTTTACGACACTCGATCGAAGTGCGCTCCATGTGTTTTTCGGCCAGGGGCGAGTACAGGGTTATTGAAAGTTGAATCAAATGTTTATGGGGAAGTAAGACAGTTTTTTTAAGTGGGTAGAAAGTAGGCAATCTTGAGCTGGCAAGAAAAAGATGCTTAAAAAACGAAATAAGACATATCAAGAACAATGATGACAACAACAAAGCAGCTATGCTAGGCTAACTAGAAAAAATGTATATATATTTAAACAAAGAAAGTCAACTTAAACTTTTTTCAACTTTATTTTCCACAACTAACAACCACTGCTATAAACTTCTAAATACGGGATTTATTCCGACCCCAACTTTGGTGTTGAAGAAAATGGCTTACGCTTGAGCGTGCATCCAAATTTGCGTTCCTCTGCAAAATATAAAAAAGAAGCCTTTAGTTGACCGTATCATTTTGTTTCTACTGCAGCTGATCATATGGAAAACTTTGACCGAATGAAGGCAATCACCTAACTGATGACTGAGGTAAAAAATATGCTTTAACCCTGTAACTCTTAAAAGGAAATGACATGAAACATCTCCCTATATGTTCCATAACTTATCCAGCAAAAACGAAATAGGAATACTCAGACTTATCAAGTAGAAGTTGTTATCTTGATCTAACACCAAATTCTCGTTCCTTATGTATACGGAAATCTGTATCAGCAAGAGGGGAGAAATATTTATCAGATCTTGGGAGTGAATGATGTATAACCTTCAAATTGTATTTAAATTAAGTGAAAAGATAAAAGTTCTCGGGTAACACCTCGATATAACTTTGGAATGATTCTGAATTGTTCTAATAAACCTTTAGGACAGGGGCGAGGGAAAACGCTGAGTATCCAAATCTTGCTGGAATGTGCAAGATACGTTTGTCTTTGGAAAGAGTTTCCCTCAAAATTTGCTTGTTTCTTTTAAGATGCAATTTAAAGTTGAATTAGCGTTCATGAATACTCACACTAACACCAGCCACACGACTTGGCACAATACTTCCTGGTCCACTCATGATGGTCTTTACAGTAGCCTTCATATCCTGCTAAAGTTGGACACTGACTGGCAAAAGCATCGCTGTCTTTGCAATCTAGGTTGGAAAAAGGCATTTATTATTGTTCGAATTGATAAGGTGTAAAGAATTACGTGGTAGGTGGGAAAATTAACGAGTCGATCAATTCGAAGCTTCAACCTCCCCCCTGCTCCCCCGGGCAATCCCTGGGGCATTTGATCTTTTGAAGATTGGCTCCCTTAAATTCCCACTCCTCTATGTTCAAATGCCCCATTCAAATGTCGGATACATCTTCAATTTTTTGATAAAAAGCATGATTAGCGACCATGACTTTCTTGTAGACTTTTTCTTCTGGGCCACATTACAAGATGATACACGTTTATTCCGTTGGAAATACTAGACAGGTCCGGTTCAAATCCCCCCCATCCCCTTGGCATGGACGACAGTCAAATGCCCGTTGGTCGGGGTTTGTTGAAGCTTCGAATTGATCGGGGCATAAATTAATCCTCTGTTTGAGTTACCTACAGTGAACGTGCCTCCGCATAGTATCAAAACCGATTGACTTGTGAGGTCGAATGTTATAAATTGAAGGATTTTGTTGCTCTGTTAACTTAAAAAATTGATTTTGTACAACTTCGAAAGGGGATTATCGGGCGATATAGCCCTAACATACCTTTTATCGCTTCAGCATTTCAACAGTTTGAGTGGGAGTGTTAAAGTTGTTTGTGACAATGGCATTATTTATACGGCAGAGATTATTCTTTACTGGAAATTTTGGCGTATAGAATAAATAAACTGGGTGAGTTTCGTCATATGCCAAAGTGTTTGTAACTCACGTTCAGTTCTTGTTATTGCCCCCCACCAATCCTTCCGGCTCCGAGTACCCCTCGAAATGAAAATGCATCTCCAATAGATTGCCTTATGGACAAAGACAAGTTCTTAAAGGGCTTAGTAGAGGGATTAATGTTTGTATCTCAAGGTCTAAAACTTTCAGACAAGCTTTTTAAGTCTCTCTCTCTTCTAGAAGTAATCAATAAATGAATTACCATTACTCTGTCCCGTAATTATAGACGGGTGAATGTGGTTTGGATATGAAACCAAATTCTCTGGACGAAGCCTTCCAAAATAAACTTTTTATCCATCAGCGGAGAAATCTAGCTGGGTTCAAGAGGTCAGTTGACATACCTGGCTTCGGTGGCACAACCCCAGTTATCTTTTTTGAGATCCAGGAGTGCAGATTCCGAACCTTAGCATAGACACCGAACTTTCCTGGCGCAGCGCACCCATATCCCCAGCTTGTCACCCCCTCCAGATACCATTTTCCATTGAACTCGCAAACAAGAGGACCACCGCTATCACCCTGGCAGGCATCTATGCCACCCTGGTCTAGGCCTGCACACAACATGGAGTCGTGAATCTTTCCTGGGTACCCCTTCAAACAGCGCTGCTTTGACACCAGTGGTACATCAATCTGCTGTAGAACTGAAGGGACAGCACCACCAGAGGATAGTCTTCCCCACCCTGTGATCCAACACTTCTTTCTCTTGTTGAGGTCGTCTAATGGAAGAGGTAGATTGAGATCTGGCAAGCAGACAAGACCGACTCCTTTGCCTAACTTGGCGGGCTTTTCCAATCTGAGAAGGGCAATGTCGTGACTATATCTCAGAGGGGAATGGTATTTTTCATGGGTGATAATCTCCGCAACGTCAATGTCTTGCTCAGTTCCAACAGTTTCACCCACGCGGCTGTGAGCGCCCAACCTATTTTTACAATAAAAACTGTTAGAGGAGGACTGCTTTTTAGCCACTGAAGGCCTTAGGCTGTAGAAGAAGACAAAATTACTTAAATAAAGGGGGATGGGCTTAGATAAATGGAGTTAAAGAAATTCGAACTGAATTAGCAGTGAATGTGTTCGGGTAAATAAACTTCAAAGACTTGTAAGAAAAACGTTATTTATAGACTATTGATAGAATATTCAGTATTGGAAGATGCTGAAGAAGCAGATAAGTTACCTGACTTTAACACTAGAATGGTGTGTGTCTGTTACGCAATGCGTTGCGGTTACAACCCAACTCGGATCGATGAGAGATCCTCCACAAAAAGGGAAACCAGACGAATACCTCAACATAACTTGCCATGGCCAACTGTTTATAGCAGCCTCGTGACCACCCACAATTCTGGTGATTGGACGAGAACCGCAATTTCCTGCTTAAGCATGTAAAACAAAATTAAATAGTTACCATGTAATAACCTGATAATATCATGATACAATCACAAAAAAGGCACCTTTCCATTGACTTAAACAGACTTACCACATTTTAAAGATTAAGCATGCATTTAACCAAAGAAGTATACGGAAAAAGAAAATAGGCAATGAAATAGAAGCAGTTTCACTGGAAAATTCGTAAGTCAGTAACTGGTCATGAAATTCGGTTTGATGTTGAAATAATGGTCTAAAACGCAAAAAAAATAAAATAAAATGAAGTAAATCATGATCGTTTTTGCATTACCTATCTAAGGGATAGGGCTTATAAATCATAAATCATTGAAAAGATAAACTTCAATCTTTCACTGATGGACTGTAATTTCTGCAACAGGCACCGCTTCCTCAATGAGCTAATGCGTGCAATGCAATGCTTATACATGCACTATGTTGAAACACCCATTCAATCTTTCACTGATGGACCGTAATTTCTGTAACAGGCACCGCTCCTTCAATGAGCTGATACGTGTAATGCAATGCTTATACATGCACCATTGGTTTAGGTGAAATGCAGACGAAATCATTGGATTTCTGGTCTGTAAGGCCATGGCAGTGGTTGACAGTGAAGCAGATTTTTATGGTAGATGTGTTGATAATGAACCAAAACCAGCAGTATATTCCTGGTCTGGTTTATATGCTTTCGATTTAAACGGATTGATTGGCAAATATTCAGTTTCGATACAATAGAACAACTTTAAATTTCTTAGTTGAACATCCCGTTGTTTACTTTAGACGAATTAAAAGGCACTTTTGAGAAATTGGGCGGCACACCCTAAGACCCCTCTTACGATCTTATGCCAATGCATATGCCTTCCTCGCTACAAATCGAAAGCTTAAAGCTCAAGCTTTCATCAACAAAAACAAATTTTTACGCAGACCATGCCTGTTTTGTACCATAGTTTCCAACATCTCCAAAGCAAACACGTGCAAAAAATATATAAAACTTCCCAGTTCCATTTTGCCTATTTTTCTACGTCGAGTAATAAGAAAATTTAAAAGAAACATAGGATTAAAAAAGTTAAAAGAGAAAACACTAAACAAGCCGATAATGAGCAGAGTGGCCAAGATTGAAGAACATTTTAAGAATCGGATCAGTTGCAAATGAAAAGCAGGAAATTACGAGCTTTGACTGAAATTTTCAAAATGCCCAAATCGTCACACAGCGCTTTAAACAATTATTATTAAGAGCAGGAGTTTGTAGGAAAGGGAACAATCTTACCTTCAGCGAGCGCAAAAGTGCTTAGAATACACGAACAAATCAACAATAATACGTTCATGTTTAGGCAGGCAAAATGCATCTAACAAGATGATCCAAATTTCTCACCATATATTCCCTGATGATCAATGACGAAGATAAAAATCTGTTCATATAACGTACAAAGAATCTAACAACCTTATTTATTTTAAGATTGAAAACACTATAGAAAAGAAAGAGTGAGTAAACTGACTACACTGCATTGTTTCTGCTCCTTCTGATCTGTTTGATTACTTTTGTAAGGCTCTGAGCACAGCTGTCGGTGGTCATGCTGCCAGTTGCAGCTAAACTAAGAGAAACAAAGATGTTTTCCGGCTTGTCTGAAATAGTTTGATAGCTTTTAGAGCCTCAGGCAAACTTGTGTACAGATCTCTACGCGTATTTCTTTACTTATTTATTGAACCTGGTCGGTGTCAGATCATTATTTAATCTCAATTGCTCAATGCACGAGTAAAGAAGAGCGACAACCACACGGTTTAAGATTTCATGGAAGTTCTTTTGTTCGGTCCATCTTTTTCTGTTTCAAAAGTAAAAGAGTAAATTTACTCACCCATAAGAATAACCTGAAGAACTTTTTGTTTAACCTGTAAACCGCAAGAGTGACCAGCATCTAATTTCTCCTTACATTGAGACTGCCTAATTATTGAAACATTAGAATGAAGGAAATGATTTCAAACCAAAGTAGCTTTGATTGAGGGGCTAACGGTTAAGATTTTGGCCATTTTACGGCTAATGGTTAACTCCTTCCTTAATTAATAAAACAAGAAATGTTTTCGGCTAACTTTTTTCACGACTAACGGTTAAAATTTGTCATTTGTTTCGCCTAAAGGCTAAATGTTTTGGCCTCTTTACGGCTAGCGGTAACCCTACGAAGACCCTGTTCATTGTTTCACGAACTCTCTTTGTCATTACTTACAAAAAAGGAGAGAGAAGTATAGATACTGATGTTAGGCTGTAAATGGTTAAGAGCTGAATACGAATAAAACGATACCACATACTATTGCAAGCCTATGCATCATCACACCTTGAGTGCGTCCGTTCTTGGTTCAGATGTGGTTCGACTTCACTTTTAGTTCAAATGTGTTTAAGTTTCATTGTCTTGAAACTCGAGGAATGAGATCAGTTTTAGTTTCTGAATAAATTAGATTAAAAGGCAACATTGCGTAGGCTACGATTGGAACAGCCCTTACAAACCAGAACAATTTTCTGAGAGGGTATGCGCAAAGTGCAGAGTAAAGATGAAAAGAAACTTGCGTCTTACGTAAAGAACTTGCATCGGTGGGCAAAACTTAGTTTGTTGATGTCTGATTGATTTATCGTGAAGTCAAGACCTGATGCTAATGGAAAACGATGGTCACTTTTAAGGACTCAGTGATCATGATCAGTGTATTATGTAAATGAGAAATCTATGCCAGTAAGATAACCAAAAAGGAATTATGTTCCCCAATTTATTTGGAATGGGACTTTAGGAACTCCCCTTGTCATTAATTCGTTGATTGCATAAAATTGGTTTTCTTTTAATCAAATACCATGCTTCTATAGAACTTTATGCCGTGGTGTTAGCTGTCTTAAACCGCCTGTCCGTTCAACATTAAGTGAGGGAAACCTCTAATGTAGGGTGTACTTGAAGCATTTGAAATGAAGCGTGTGGTGTAAAAAGTCTTGTCTCGTCTTGCCGGATTTGACCCTGTACATGATGCTGGAAGGACGCTACTGCCAGCTAATCCAAGTACATGATTCATTTAACAGTATCACGGCAATGAGCACAACCGGAGAACGCAAAGCCAGACTTGACCCTGTATATTCCCGATGCTGGAAGCACGCTACTGCCAGATGATCCCTAAATATAATCTATTTCATATATCATTTATGAAAGCTCTGTCATATTTTGGTGGCCCGTGTGCATACCTCTTGGAAAAAACATTGGATAGTCTATGGCTATTGAAAGCAAAAATATAATATGGAATCACATTTCTGTGTGAGGGCAATGCAAAGGTACACTACGATTTGTGGTTAAGATATAATAATAAAAAAATCACGGATCAAAGTTTTTTACGGCGAATAATGACAATTCTTGGAATTTTCCATGGGAATTTTCTCCAGCTCTTGGCCAAGTGATTTGAGACATGTCATTATTTAAAGTGACGACTCTTGAGGCCATTTATCATTTTCCAAGGAAAACATTTATTAAGGTGATGTTCTCCTCTTTGTATTCGTAACTCTTGTTTATCCGTTGTTCTATTAGCCAGTTTTTTAGGATCTTATTTCATCGTAGTTTTTATTTGAAGGAAACGAATTAAAGTATCCAAGACCCAAATTTTTTTTTTCGTATTTATCCAGCTTACCCATGATATGTACAAACCAATTTCGATTGTCTTATGTGTCCTGTACACTGGTAACGGGTCAGCGGGTGATGACTTAGAAAACTGTGATACTCTTGAAATAATGACATAAGATAGAGTGAAAACTTGAATGCGTCTTTTGACAGGAATAACAATGATGGTTAAGCAAGCTCAAAACAATAGTGATCACAAGGAACCACAACGGACACACAAGGAATGATTAATTTATGTTAACTTTTCGCGTAAAATCTTCATATTTCGGAATATTTAACGTTGTAAATCGTCCGTATTTTGTTTCCAATACAAATCCTTAAACGGGTTCAAATTCTCAGCGATTCCTCTGGTGTAACCCAACACCGCGTAATGCAACGCGTGACGTTTTCATTAATATCTACATAATATTTCCATTTTCTCAAGACGTGAGGGAATTACTACAATCCGGGCGACGAGCGGGGGAAGAAAAAGAACCGAAACACGATTGGTCAGTGGTGAAACAACTTTCACACCGCATATAGAGAAATACCGCGGTCTGTAAGGTTTACAAAGACGACGATGGAGAGGATTGGTCTAGGTGCGATAGCTGTGGCCAGTTTTCCCACGCAAGTTAGTCTGGATATGCCTTTCACGGAGACGCTTACATAACATTTCACCTGCCGTTAGATTGTTAGGGCGACTTCTGGTCAGAACAAGTAGAGTTAAAATTTAAAAGCTGGCTGTAACTTTGAACCAGATGATGAATTCAATGTTAATTTACCAAGATAAGTTATACAGTCCTCGGTAGTCAATTAAAATAGAGTTTCGCGAGCGTCAATGGTCTGGAGTCGTAACGTGATGGAGCCAACAGTGGAGAACATCCCAGAATTCAAAATTTGTGATTTTGTTCGGTTCGGACGTTAAGTTTTCATCCCAAGTGCATTTGTTAAAATGAATAGGAAAAAAATTCGAACGGAAATCAGAATTAATTTAACGTCTGTATCTTTTGAGAAAAGGTCTCGTAAACGAGTCTCCATGATTATAAATATTTAAGAAATGGTAAACACGTAAGCCCTAACTTAGCTGTTTCTCGAAGCTCAGTGTTTTCCTACTTGCCTTTTTTTCACTTGAAATTGGGGCGATCGAATATATATAATATACAGTAAAAGAACTTCAGCTGATGGAAATTTTAAATTTCTTATCTTAGGCTGTGGATACAAATTTATTAATGTAAACGTTTCTTTACAAGCTAGAGTTGCAAATTCGATTCCCGGGTTGACACACGCGCATGCGATAAACACCAAACCAAATAGGATCTTTTCTTTCTTTATTCCTTGTCCTATTCCTTAGGGCGTTATTATATCGAGGCGGTGAACAACGTTCGCGGGTCTTGGTTACTTTATCGAGGATTACAGTCTAACTTGTCTTCTATTCAAAACGATCTTGAACACACAGGGTCTTATCTTGAACTGAAACGCTAACTATAATTTTCTGTCTAAAAAGAACTAATCATGGGGGCGTCAACCTGACCAAAAAATATTTCGCAGCTTTTCTCGGAAGCGGTAACACTTAGCTTCAACGGAAGCAGTTACAATTAATGACTCTAAAAATATAAAAAATCGAGAACGAAATTTTTGTAGAGTTGCTTAACTGTTCATTTTTACGGAAACGACAGTCGAGATGGCAAAATTCATGTGAAGAGGAAGCCAACTGTGATTAAAGCCTTGAACGAGTCAAGATACTTTTTTTTCGTCACACAACCAGTGACATAACGTAAATATCATTCTTCTTGATACCTTTCCCAGTGTCACCGATGCCTTTCCCGATGCCTCCGTTGGTTAGGATAGCAGTAAAAAATATTGTTCCAGTCAAAGCCTTTGGAAAATTACTTAACTTTTTAATTAGTGAAGTATAACTTGGAAACATTTCGGCTTTAAAACACGATTGTTTTCTGCAAGTTACAAAACGTCAATATAATTCTTCTTGGTGCCTTTCCGGATGCCACCGATGCCTTTCCGATACCTCCATGGTTTATTACAGCAGTGAACTGAGATATATGCACAATCAACATATTTGAAAAATTGCTTAACATGTTATTTAGCGAAGTAAACTTGATCGATGGCGCTGTTAACGAAATGTTTGGCTGGTTCGTAAGTAGTCGACCTGGTTTCGGTCGATCTGATTGATTGACAACACCTCTAGGGCAATACATATCATCGTCCCAAACCAGATGAGCCCATGACACGTCAGCGGAATCGTAGCGGGAGTCTTCTATTTTTGTGTGGGACTTCCCACACTTTGTCAACGCCCGCGAAATTTATTTCTTTATTTATTTGTCCACGAGAGAGAAGTGCTTGTCACGTGGTTTCTATTTGCGTTCAGTGAGCCATGAAGACTGGATTCCAGTCGGCGTTTTTTCATAGTGTATTGTACGGCGGCCATTTCTCTTCTCAGTCGTTGGGTTTTGGAGAACTTATTCGGAATTTCATGTTTGTTTCTTGGGGATTTTTGTTTCCAAGGTAAGGATAAGTCATTTCATATTTTCACGGGTTCTTTGCGTTCTTTAACTTTTCAATTTTGTTGTGGGAGCTTCACGATTAAGCTCTCACGAAAAGCGATTACGTTTGTACACCTGGTTTGTGTTCTTTCTTTCATAATCTGACGCGTTTGTTTCGTTATTTCTTCAGGTGTCTATAACAAAAGATTTTTTCACG